CTGCCGGCCTGAGTTGCAACTGCCTTTTCAAACTCAGGCCATGACAAAGTTGCGGACTGCCTTTTTTTTTCTGCCATTACAAACTTCCATGCGACATGGGGTCTCTCCACACTACTCCTGACTTGGCCATTTCGGGGGTGCAGCATCGCCACACCAGCTCCTGTGTTCAACCTGTCAGATTGAATTCGGGAGGCGTCCGAGAGCACTCCCGAACTCACTGCCTGCAAAGCTTTTTTTTTGAGAGACCGCCTTCGCTCCTCCGAGTTCCATCCCAGATTCGGGAGTGGAGCAGGAAGGGAAAAACGACTTCTGCCAGACTGCTTCACACTGATCGTGTCCACATGTGGCAAATGACATTTTCCGACTTTGAGCGCGGCCGGGTCGAGAGTGTAGTGTGGCGAAAAGCACTCCCGAGCGGGTTTTCACTTCCGGGAGCACTCCCGAAAAAATTTCCAAGTCGGGAGTGGTGTGGCGAGGCCCATAAACGTACTTCGACTGTAAAAAAAAAAAACGTGGCCTGCGTCTCTTTTCGGATTCTGACAGGCACCCCCGGCCAATAGCTGATTGTTCTTGTGCTTTAAGTGAAAAAATAGTGATTTAGGGGCTCGCTCCACGACTCTCTCTTCTGTGAAAAAAATGAGAGTGCATCAACAGCTGTCAGACTTGGAATTCTAGTACAGAAACATCCTTCCTCTACCCACCACTCCTTCCTCTTTTTTTTTTTTTTTTTTTTTTTTTTTTTGCAGAATTCCTCAGCCACTCTCTACTCTTGACTCTCGACTGCTCAGTCAGATTTGGACAACAGTAAAACTTTGAAGGAAATGAAGAAGGGAATAGAAAACAATACATTGCACCAGGTCCTGCCCAACCCAACTGGGGGCAACCTTTCTTTTTTTTTTTTTTTTTTTGGGACAATTTGCTCCAATCTATTCGTGGGGAGCAGCACGTGCTGGAAACCGGGTCCAGCGTCCCACTTGAATTATTACACAACATATGAGGTGTCGGGGCCATTACCCGGCTTCAGCTAACAATCTTTTTGGATGAAGAGCTTAAAAATTGAATACTATGCTATATCAGCAATTCCAGCTTCCTAAACATAGAGCAACTCCTAGCCCTCCCTATACCAGGACATTACTACTCAAAAACAGTACTGACCAGACCAACGTCATCCATAGCTGACCTCTTCTCGCCACCAAGACAATCCCCGACCCCATAGGGTGTCAAGGCGGCCCCCCACAATTCGCCACTGGCTTACCTTCCTCCCTCGGCAAACCCCAGATCTCTCTACAAGGCCTCACACTCCTGTCGTTGCAGGTTACAGGGTAACACCCCAGCTTCCCTTTTTTTTTTTTTTTTCTGGTGCCCGATTTCCATTCCACTACCGTATCCTGGGGCGAAGGGTGAACGAGGCATCACCGGTCAAGTTCGTTGTGGGACCACAGCCTCCAGGGAAGGGAACAGCAAGGCCAATATGAAGAAGAAGAAGAAGAAGAAACAAGCTCACTAAAAACTCCACCTTTCATGAAAAAACTGCCAAATGTACTATACAGAAATCGCCGAAAATTCACACCTAGGACTGCCAGGCAATTAAATTTTTAATAAGAGTGCGGCCTACTATTGAGCCTCTCAGACTGCTCTCAATGCACCCTAATGGAGGAGGGTGGAGTGGAGCTCTAGATTTTGGAAAATAGATAGTGGTGCAACGAGGCCCTTAGCTAGGCAGAAAGGTCAGAATACTCCCCCCACCCCCCCCCAACCCAAAAGCCATTGAATAAAGAGACTGGTGAACCTGTGGATCATGTCTTTGTAGAGAGGCTTAGTTTCTTCAGGATCATGAAGGTGTGCAGCATTCCACCATGCAGTGACATCTATTTCAGGCGGTGGAGCACATGCAATTTCTCAAGCTTGTTGTTGTTGTCGGAAATATACATGTTGGCGGTTTTCTGTATGAATTGGAAGCGCAGTCACTGAAGGATATCGTTCTGACATGACAAAGTCAAAGATTCTCCAACATGCTTCAGCCGCACCGATTGTTCGCATGTCTTGATAGACCTGAATTTCATCGTTTGTATTAAGTGCATCAACAACCATCGCTCTGTCTGGACCTCTTAAGATATATTCGAACATGTATTGATAGACAGCTGTCGATGCGCAAATTTTGATATTTATATGGCAGCGGTAGCGGAGAAGGGGTTATGGATTATAAGGTACAACCCAAGAGTTGTCAATGCGTTTATCAGGTTGACGAACTATTATTCCCCCATCAAACGGTGCACGGCGGGGGTAGATAGAATATCCCGTGTCTTCATTTCATGTTGTTCGTTTCGAAAATCCTTGGGGAAGAATCGTGTGCATCGATCATTGTGCATGCACGATGCGGCGGGATTGTATATTCCACACGGATTGTGTATCATATAAGATAAGATGCGTTCACGTAATTCCGAATTTTTGAGAATTTCAGCACAAACAACAGTATCAATTTGTTCACATGTAAATATTTAAGCGTCGTCTTTAAGTATCACAATAAGACAAGCATGTGATAATCCACGTTTTTAAAACTCAATAGTATAAACATATGCAATAGTTATTTCGAAAATGTGACTCGAGTGAATGTTGTGGATGAATTGTCGTAGGTATCCTTTGAAGACACGTGCAAGCAAGTCAGGCCTATCCGCCGGTTGCTGATTCGACAAGAGTGCGTTTTCAATTTTAGGCCAATGCGAATTGCAGGTTATTGTGATGAAGAGATCCGGAGCACCTAATTCTTGGACGGCGGTCATCGCTGTTTGGTATCGTCGATGCATGTCGCGTGGACCACTTGTGAACGATGCGAGAAGAATAATTCACTGACCAATACTCTGCATTGTCATACAAATAATATGGTCATGAAAGTTTTGATAGAGATCTGCCCGGATCTATGTTTGGTGGAAGCGCTTGCACAAGGCGGACATTTTCAATTTTAGCAAAAGCCATACAAACGTATTCTTGAAAGAGACGCGAAGCATGAAAAATCATAGTTCTTTTTATGGCGTGTATTGAGATGAAATGCGTAGAATTCTTGGGCAGTGATATTATGAATATTAGGATCTGCTTGTTCGTCCTCTTCAGCTGCCCATTGATTATCGCCTGAAGGAAAAAGCAGAGTATAGTGAAGCGGATTAAATGCTCGGTTTGTTTCTGAAATAGGTAAAACTTCACTGGCACGTCGGTGAATTACGATTTCGTGATGAACAGGTTGGTCATGCATCAGAATACAGAGTCTTTGGAGCCCTTCCGGTCTATTGTATCTTCGAGCGTGTTCCTGTAATGGTCGTGCATCCGGATTGATGACGACATGAACTTTTTCTAGCATGTGTTCTGGGAGTTCTGACAGGGTAATGAAATCTCGAACCCAGCGATTGCATTGTCAGAGTAAACAATGAAGAGTTCGTAGGAGATATTTTATGGCTTGGACGATGGCAAATGGAGTGTCTTGTGGCAGGTTAAGTCCTTGTAAACGTAAGAGGGTTGCATTATTGTCATCCTGTGGACCATGTATATATATTTGGGCAAATGATGGTTGCTAATTTTCATTTGGGAGGAGTGAACCCATGTGTTGTTGAAGTCGGCCTTCTATTCTCAGCATACCCGGCCAGCGTCCAGGACACATTTGTGTTTCTTTAACTGATTAGGATGCAAGGGCAAGTGCATTATTGAATTGACGTGTGCCCCTGATCGTAGCAATCTGCCATGTTTGCTATCCGTTTCCCTGAAACGTAAAATGTGAGCAGCAGGTGTTATCGGGTCATGATATCTCCATAGTGCTGGTTGCACTTTTCCACGCAGGCAATAGAGTGATGCCCATGCCTATTCGTGAGGCCACTTTTCTGCTTCAGAGTGTGTGCAAGGTGTTCTATTTCTGAGATTAATTACATCCACTGAAAGTTGGTGCACGAATAAGGCGGATGTGTAAATGCGTGCATTATTGATTCATAGTTGGATATTCTCAACTTGTGTTTATCTAAAACAACTTTGCCGCTCTCTTGCCGCAGATCTTGCTCTTTCGGCAGCAACATGAGAACTTCCGGCTAACGTTGTGTAGAGAGTAGGAAGGAATAAGGAGGAGAAGCACAGAAGATAAAACATAAAGACAAAAATAAAAACAAATGATTACTCGAAGTAAATTTTTCGTATATCAACAATTGATTCTCGTAATTGCAAAATTGATTATTTTATTCTATCAATTACAATTAAATACTCTGGAATATAAACAATCAGCTAGTTATACTATTTATAAAATGCAATGTATCGAAAAAAGAGACATTCATTATGAACAGACAGTTCTGAGCACCCAAATTGCAAAAAAAAAATGCAAAGAAGTAAATCTGTTCATCCTGTTCAAAAAAGAAAAAGAAAAGAAAATATAAGAGTATAAGCTAGGCTACCAAAGTGGTCCGGGGCCACTCGCCTGGCCAGGCCAAAAAAAANTGCTAGTGCTGACTGCTCTTATCAGCAGCACCAGCAACGGAACAGATCTATTTGATTCAGACCCGAAGCATCTGCTCTTCGAGCGAGCGTGGGAGCGGATGAACATCCGTCATCACCCATGGAACACACAGACGAAAACACAGGCATCCCAAACATGGCCCTGCGCTTAATCGTCCTGCAGGCACTCCTAATTGATCGGCCGACTATTTGGCACAATTTAGAGGTGCTTGCTTAGACTCGCAGAAAATACCTAGGGAAAAAAAAAAAAAAAAAAAAAACACCAGGAAAGACATACAAAACATACATAAAACTGATTGTTTGTGTGTATGTGTATGTGTGTGACCCACCCACTGGGCTAGTGTCCGGCCGCATGATTCAGCCTTGTGCCCAAAAGAACTCTTGTGCAATTGGGGAAGCACGCGAGTGCACGCTGGCCTTCTGCACTCTGCCTGCTGTTGGTCAAGACCAGCGAGGCCTTAGTCGGAGTGGTGTAATACTTCGTTGGGCGAGATCACCTATCGTATCGACGACGACAGACGACTACTAAACGGCATAAGTTCGAAGCGCTACAGCCGATAGGCGAAGAGAGGCAGTCACTCATGCAAAATGCACAACAGATAACTAAATAAACTAGGCTACCAGCTGGGCCGTCCACGTCACATTGTTTTCCCGGGCGGTCCGGCCGTGCAAGGACCAGGGGAGGTTCCAGCAAAAAAAAAAAAAAAAAAAAAAAAAAAAAAAAAAAAAAAAAATGTTATTTTTTATTATAACCTTGGTGAAGAATTTCGATGTGACCCTGAGGCAAAAGTTGTTCAGTGTATTTTGTGCATAATATAGTCCTTGCATGGGCTGGCTACCAAGGACCCAGGCGGCCCGGCTGGTAGCCAAAATACAAATCGTTACTATAAACAAATAACGATTGAGCCAGGCTAGTATTTTTTTGGTTAGGTCGGGCAAGTGACCCCGGGCCACTCTGGTAGCCTAGCGACTGAGTAAGTAAAAAAAAAAAAAAAAAAAAAAAAAAAAAAAGATGCAATGCAATAAAAAAAAAAAAAACACGAAAAGAGCTGATTTCAAATGTATGTATGTGTCTCTGTATGTGTGTTCATAGTTCATAGTAAAGGAGAAATGACACGTCACCATGCATACACAGGAGACAGCATCACGTCATCATGCCAAAATTCCACTCGCGTAAAATTCACACATGAGACAAAGTAACATCAAAGCGTTCGGATATTCAATGAAAACCCAGATACAGGTTGGGCGTCCCGGACGCCGCGTTTCGACACCCGCCACGGTGTCTCTTCAGGGGGCTTCCTCCAGCCTTCGTCCCCATACTAACTCCCTCGACCTCCTACTTTCCCACTCCCGTTCTCACTTTACGCCGCCATCCGGATGTTGGCGCGCCGTGAGCACGTTCGACCTATGAGAGAAGTAACTAATCGGATGCTCTGTATTTAAAGCAAAACATCCTACTGAAAACTATTCGGACACAGTAATATG